ACTAAACTATTGGCCAGCAGAAAAAAAATCTTCGCTGCAGTCAGAAGCCATGAACAATTCCATACTAGCTTGATTGGTGAGATTTTTATTTTAAGTACTGTTTATTCTAATTTAGTTAGTAAAATGAAGGAATATGATTTTAAGCAGCCTGAAATTACAGCGTTATGCATGGTGGCAGTTCTTATTATCTCAGTATAGCTGTATCATTGAAAAGGTACCCGATAAAGAGTCTTCCTAATGCTCTAACAAGACAAATGAAAATAATGAGGACGGTACCTAGAGTAGAGGATTCACCTACATATGCCATGAAACTCCAGCAGCAAGGTAAAAATTTTGTCAGAAAATTAGACAGCTTTTTCCTATTGGCAATTCTGAAACAAGAGATCCATTATTGATTGCTTTTCAACTTCATCTGGAAGAATTAGTATTACTATGAATAATCTAAGATGCATATCTCTCAAAATCAAGATAATCTCATGGTTAATTCAGAAAGAAATCCTGGACAACTTAATCCTTTTCAGAAGATAGCTCTATGTCAACAAATATCCAAAGACTTCTTACATAAGCTCTTGTGTCATGCAAATTGGGAGTCTCGACTTCTATTTTCAGCTAATAAATTTCACTAGTAAAATTTTATCAGAAGATACAAAAATGAGAACTTGGTAAACCAACAGTCTTCGAAACAACAGCCAACGACAACAAAAGAACTATCAACCTTATTCTACCAAATAGGCCAAAGTTGTATCCCATGTCAAAGGCGAGAAAAAGGATTTTGCCTAGTTTACAGTTGAAAAAAGAGGGCCAATGTTCAAGCAGCAAAAAGAGGGGCTAATGTTGACATGGTGAATTAAGCAACAGGTATGCTAAAAGGTAAGGCCAGATGATGGTGGGAGCATCTCTCAGATTTTGAACAAGCGACTATTGCAAACATTGGCCTATTCGAATTAGGGACTAAACATGTTGCATAATTTGTTGCTGAAAGCATAGCCCAAAAGGCTATGGATATTGCCTTCTTACACAAAAGAAGACTACGGAATACTGAAGATTTTGAAAAGTTTTCTGAATGTTTTGTCAAAGAAAGCTACAGGCTTAGTTTGCAGAAAAAGCCCACTTGCAACACCATATATCTTGCGGTAATGCCAAGTAATATTTTAGATTTCTTCAGAGAAACAATAACTGCACAAAATGTGTTATTTGAATCCTTGATATTCTCTAACATGGTGGGCTCTACAAGACAAAAAATCAAGAAGCTTTGATACAAAGAAAACTCAAAAAAATTTTGTAAAACAATTGATCCTAACTTCAGTGATAGCATCGAAGGAGCCGAATCATATAATATTCTAAAATCTAGAAAGTTTCACAAGAGAATATCTAAAGCCTTACAAGTTTTATTCAAGAAATAAAATAGCAAAGCTCAAGATTCCAAAACCATTCTATGTTTGTAAAGAAGAAGGGCATCTTGCGGCCCAATACCCTCAAAGAGCCCCAAAGCAAATTATGGTTTTATTCACGCAATCAAAAATTTTGGAAGGCTGGTCTATTATTGAGAAGCCGAAGAATTAGAAAAAACGTTTGAAGGTGAAAATGTCTATCACAGTATAATTCTTTTTTGTCAATATTAAGCAATGTTTTGGCTCATGGTCTTTGTATAGGGTTTGGTAACAATGAGTGATTTTGCTTTTTGCACATGGTTTTTCCCAACAGTAATTGTCAATCACTTCCACCTTGTACAAGTGGTATTGGGCATCTATTTTACTTTTTGAGTTCTATAAGTATATGAATTTACTAATATGTGAATTGAGGCAGTTTTACAGTTGTTGTAAAAACCATGAGTAGGTATTCTGTACCTAATGGTTCTTTAGTGAACTCACCCAATCCCACATTGGTACATTGATCTGGATAACGATTGTGTCCTTTATTTTGGATTTCATTGAGTGATTCATCGTTTTGAGAGTTGATCCACACCAAGAGGCTAAATAAGCCCTAATACTCTCCTGACATAAATCAACGGCCTTCAAAAGAGATAATCGATATCCTGATTAATATATCAGGATAGGTTCAAGTTCACTAAAGAACAATTAAAAACAGAATAGCTACTCATGATTTTTACGCCAACTGCAAAATGCTTTAACTCTCGCAATACCAAATGAAAGGACACATATTTATATGACTCAAAAAGTAAAACAAATGCCCAGTACCAAATGTACAAAGTGAAAATGGCTTATAATTACTGTAGAAAAAACCATGTACAAAAAGCAAACGCACTCGTTGTTACCAAACCATGTACAAAACAATGAGCCAAAACCGTGAGCAAAAGAAAACACACTATTACAATACATTTGCTTAATAAAAGATAAAATGGACTATTCTATGACAAAGACAGTTTCTTCCTCAAAGGCTTTTTCTAATTCTTCGATTGTCTCGATCATAGATCAGTCGTTCAAAAATTTCAATTACGTGAATAAAGCCCTAATTTGCTTTAGGACTTTTTTAGGGCATTAGGCTGCAAGCTACCCTTCTTACATACATAGCATGGTCCTCGTAGCTTAAATTTTGTCCTTTTATTTCTTAAAATAAAATTCATAGGGCGTAAACTATCTTCTTCTATGAATATTTCTGAGCTTTAGAATACCATACGATTCGACTCTTTCGATGGTATTATAGAGTTTAAGACCAATTTCTATAAAAAAAAATTTCTAAGTTAGCATAACAGCAAAGCTTCTTAATTTTGGCTCTTGTATAGCCGACCACATAAGATAATACCAAGGATTCCGATCACACATTTTTTGCAGTTCTTGTTTCAATGACCAAATCTGAAATGTTACCCAGCATAGCTGCAAGATATGTGGCATTGCATGTGGGGGTTTTGTGAAGCCCAAGCCTGTAGCTTTCCTTAACTAAACTTTCAGAAAACTTTTTAAATTCTTCAATATTATCAAGTCTCCTTTTGTGCAATAGCATAATATCAATTTCTTTCTAGACGGTTCTTTCTGCAACAAATTGTGCAATAAGCTTAGAACTTAATTCGGATAAACCACTATTAGCAATACCAGCTTGTTCAAAATCTAAGAGATATTGCCACAGCCATCTCGCTTTACCCTATAACAGAATATTGCATGATTTATCATGTCTGCATTAGCCCATCTTTTTGTTGATTGGACAATAAGGCACTTATAGATCCAAGAATTATTTCTTACCTGGTTTTGCTGATAGACAACATCAATGCTTAAAATAGGAAGTCGACCCCAATATCCCTTATCTCAGTATTTTCGAAAGCAGGGATCTAGATCATTTTTTATTGCCAAATTGTGGATTCAACCATTACTTCACTTTCTTAATCATTTTTATTTGAAAAAAAGAATATTTAAAGCTTGAAATTAAATAATCATAGGGCTTCATCAACTTTCTTCATTTTGTATGCCTCTATCTTCAAATATTTTCAAATGGCTTCATGAATTCTCAAACACATTTCTTCTTCTTTCTTTCTTCCTTTGGTTTCCTCTTTCTTCTTTTCAGCCAAAATTTCAACTACCAAGATTTGTCTTTATTTCTCGATTTTGAGATTCAATAGATGAAATATGTTTTTTTGAAAAAGTAGTCCAATGTAATAGATAGTTTAGTTGTCGTACCTCATCCTTTTGTGTTTTCTCTAAGTTTATATTATACATGAGTAGGTAGCTTGCATCTACTCATAGCTTTAGACCTTTGGGTCCCTCCATCTGCATAGGCACGACTATAGAGTAGGCCATTTTTGGTGGCCAGTCACCATCAATCACCCATTGTCTACCACTGCTAGTCTCCTCTTTAGCTTTTTATGGGATTCTAAATGTTCTACACCTAAATCATAATTAAAATAAGGGTGAACTACGAAATCAATTTGTCCAATATGGATATACTATTTCTTAGATTTCCAACTTTCAATTTTTGATTGTTCAAAAAATAGTAGAAAGACTGGACAAATACCTTTACCCTTGACAAGTAGATTGACCTTGGCTTGCCTAACTGATTGTAAATACCTGGATTCAAAAAGAGGAAGATCATACAAATCTTGCTTCCGACTTCTGGGAACTTTATATAAACCTAAACTATCTATGACTCCTTGTTTTAAGACAAAGAATATAAAGAAACTGACCTATTTAAAGAATTTTGAGTATTTGGGAGAGGCTATGAGACATTTGAAGAGGAAGCAGAGGAGTGCCTCGGTCTCATCATGTCTATCTGAGAAATTTGCTCTTCTTGAGACAGGGACTCTTTTTGCATATTGTCATCTTGCTCATCGTACTCCATGAATCTGGGAGGTTGGGACCAATCTATTTGTTGGTCTTCTATATCATCAGAATCAGTCCAAAGCTCACCATGGACTTTTCCTCTGACTGGTCATTTCAGTTTTAATTAACAGTGGAAGAGAGAGATATACAGGAGAAAAAGAGAAACCAAAAAAGCAACGTATAGACTCTGATACCAAAGAGAAGGAGAAAGGTGTTGGTGGTCATAAAGAGAGAGAAATGGGAAAAATAGAGGCCAAAGACAGAAAGACGCCAAAAAAAAAGGCCCTGAGAGAGTCTCTTACGACCAAAAGAGAGAAAGAAATATGAGAAGAGAAAGACAGAATATACGAAGAGAATGGATACACAAAGACTGGCTCTTTTAAGAAAGAGAGAGAGAGAGAGAGGGTAACTCTCCCTTTTCATTCCACGAGTAATTCCAGCCTTTTTTCAACTCTTCATCTTGAAATTTCTTTCATGGCAACAAATTCCGACTACATGCAATGAATGCATGTTAAGACTCTCCTACTATAACTATCAACCATATACTACACAACTTCTTTCCCATCAGAGAGAAAATTCCACTTACAAGGACAGTTAGAAATTGACACAAATTGGTAAAGATTCCATTAAAGCAAGGGTTGCCAAAGCTATAGTTCATAGCTCTTGTAATAAAAAACATAAACTTCAACGGAGAATCACTGCAGCCAATACCATAAGAGATAAACTTCTCACCTCTCCATGCAATGGCTCCCCTAGCCCACTTGGATATGTTAAAGGTGCAGAACGCAAGTTTGCCAATGGCTCCCCTGAAAGACTTGGATACGTCTGAGCAGGAAACCGAAGATTGGCAAAAGTGGGGCAGTGAAGGTGTTGATCAAGCATCTGCATGTGCATTGCAACCTTATCGCGTCTCCTATGTATCTCAAGGACCATAGTAAACAGGGCCTCATCATCAGGTATATTATCCATAAACTGTAAGCCACTGCGAAGTAACTCATAGAATGGTATCCGGCATCTGTCTTCCTCAACCAAAACCCAGACAACATCTAAGCAGCTATGCAGCCACTCATGTAATCTCACTTCAAATTCCTCAACACCATCCTGTCTCTGATCCCAACTAGCCAACCAATTAAGCATGTGTTGAAAAATCTCAGCATGAGTAAGAGGTTTTAGATTGCATTCAAGTGCAATTAATATTATCTTGCATGACAGCTGGCGTAGCCAGCTAAAGGCAGTACGCCTCAGTGATCCATTTGTCCTAGGTCCAATTTGTTGACCTGTGTCATTAGGTTTAGGTGACTGAGTTACACTTGCTGCAAGGTCAGTAGAACCTTGGGGAGGAGAACCCATTCCTTGAAGTGAAGGCAGTGGGGAGGAAGGATTGAAGGACTGAAAACTAGTGGAAGTCGAAATCGCAACTGAAGATGGCGTATTTCCATGTGCTGCCAAATTGTTAGCTGTCATTGCTTGATTTCCTTGCCCAACTGATATCTCTGCCGAGGAAACAGAAGAGAGAAGGGAAGGAATAAATGTATCCCAATTTATATAACCAATATCAGATAAAGCACGCAAGGAGAATAGCAGAAACTCTGCTTGTGGTGCATGGCTGCTACACTGCACTACCAAATTAATAATCACAGATTCTGTCACAGATCGTAGATGCTCCTGATCCTGCAAATCAAGATTTATAAGCCCTTCAGACGTAAAAGTGTGCTTCTTTTTCATGTTCAAGTCCATATGCTTTCTGGAAGAGCAGAAGATGGGACCAAGGAAAATTAAATAAGTCAAATACAGGGTCTATGTTTGGACTTACAGGAAATTGAGCCTGAAGCTGTTCAAAGTCAAAAAGAAATTGTTCATTTCGAGGTGGAAGCTCTCTATTCAAAGCAGATATTCTCTTCTGCAATTTAGTCCTAAAAGCATATGAAAAATAAGTTAAAAATATCTATGAATAATGCAAACTCAATGAAAGAGCACAAGTATAAGCTTAACAGTGGACATGCAATTCTGAAGGTAGAACTGAAGTTTTCTGAGATGATAACATGACAACAATTATTCATTTCTACATAATAATACACATTTATTCATTTTCATATCATAAATTGATCATGATACAAGTCTAAAAAATAGACATCCTATATGCCCATCCATACATTGATAATGGCTCTAAGGAATGTATTTTTTGTTGGAGTTATGGCCTTTCAAGGCCTTGTAACACAGACATGTTTATAGCTCTTGATCACGATGGGAGTGAAAAGAGTGACATGACTCTAGGATCTTCGTGCACTGGGACCAAGAGCCCTGGAACAGTCATGAGAAAGATGGGTATATATATGAGAGGCACAGAGAGGTTTCAAGGATGCCTCTAGTCAAGGTTGGTTATTATTGTTGTTATTGAGCTAGATTGGGCCTCATGACTAGATGATTGGGTCAAGGCGATGTGATTTTATGTATATAATGACATGAGCTAAGATAACTAGCCTTGTATAGGAAGGTTAAAGCCAACAAGGCCATTGGCCTAAATCCCTAACTCTTAAATTCTTCTCATAGCATGTGCATAAACAGTCGCAAAACGTGGGAAGCCGACTCTTCTAAGGATCCACTGAGAAGAGATATGCACAAGTGCCAAGAGAAGAATCCCCCCACCTTGCGTGTGCATGTCTTTTAGGGGGTGCACCTGAAATCCACTAGTACTTGGGGATCCAGGATCACTCATTGGTTTGACTTTGATAGGCTAATATCATGAGCCCCTAATTATACACTATGGGTCATGAGTTTGTTGGGTCATACCGAGAAGGTGGCTTTGGACTCTGGGCCTAGCCAAGTGAGTGCTCCGATCCCGAATTCAACTCCATAGGATCCTAATTTCACTTGTAAATATTTTTAAACATTGTAAAAATTGTTTATTTTGATGAAAAATAATTAAAAGAATTTTTGGGGATTTTTGGAGATTTTTCTGGGTTTTTTGTTGCAAGAAAAAGTGTTTTTTGAAATTGTTCTTGCAAAAAAACGATTAAAGAGAGACTATACAAGACCCACACGGGACACCCAAATGGCCAATGGGTGTCCACATGAGGCCATGGGGGCCTCCACGTCAGACCCACATGGAGATGATGTGGGGGTGACATCATCCCCCAAAGTGGCCTTTCATGTCATTGTTTGATTTGTTATGCGGGGGTACGTCTTGTAATATTGGATTTTGTGCGACCTTGAAAAATTACGAAAATTAAAATTGGCACATGTTAAATATGCAAAGCAAATGGTTTATGCACATGTGTGAGCCCCTCTAGAAGGGGTATAGCGTTTGTAATTACAATCTAAACTCTAAGGGTATGTGGTAATTGTGCACTTAACCACCTAGCTTATGTGGCATAATTTAATTAGCCCACATGCTCCTATAAAATAAAGGGGAGTTTTGAAATTCATTTTTTTGCTGGAATTTTGATAAATTACCGCAAGGGTATGCCCTCCAACTAGGTTTTTAGTTCAATTAAATATAAAGAGCATGAGTATTTTAATACAAGGGAAATTGGAGTAAATCATGAGTATTAAGATAGAGGATAAGGATGTTAAATCCATACCACACATCAAGATGGCATGATAGTGGATGGCGGCTAGGATCAAGCCTCTCTTTGTAGCCACAGATGTTGGACTTCAATGGCCAAGATTAAAACACATCTAAAGCATCTCTACACTCAACACTATATGAGTTCTCACTCACTCTCTACCCATCAAAGTGGCACGCCCCTAGGCCTTCTCCACTTCCTTCCTCTCTCTGAAAAATTGCATTCAAGGTGATGTGAGAGAAAGCTCCATTGAAGCCACTTCATGACTACATTAATGGTGATCAAAAGCTCAAATTCAAGCCATGGATGATCTAGTCTTAAAGCCTTCATCAATTGAGTAAGATGTCTTCCATTTTTATTTTATTTTTAGTTGGTTCTTCTTGCTGTAAATTCCTAATTACACCAAGCTATCTTCATCATTTTGAGGATAGCTTACTGTTCTCTTGAATCGACCTTGATCCCTCTTGATCCATACAGTTGAAGGCATCATCCATGCATAAATTGATCCAGTTTCCATGAGTTTTTCCCTATGATTTATGGAGCATTTTATACAGATATTTTTTTGAGATTTTCATGACTAAATCAGTCAATTAGATCTTCATTTTGATATCTCAAATTGGTGTTTTCATAAAAAAAAATTATGCTAAATTCATGTGGCTCGATTTATGAACTCCATCAACCGGTTTTGTGTTTTATGAACCACGGCATCTTCCATGTTTCAAGCATAGTTTGAAAATGCGACCGCATCGCCGTATATGAGGCCGCATAAAGCATTATGAGCTGGCACCCGCATCGCAATAAGGCGGCATATGTGCCTTGGAGAGATGTGCCCATATATGCACTACATCTCTCTGCATATCCAACCGCATCCTTCATATATCGCATAAGCCGCGTATGCAGCAAGCCCCATCCGTGGAAAAAAGTCCCTTGTCGAGGTATTTTTCACTTTTCGAGCCCCAAAAAAAGGGGAAAAGGGTTTGGGTTTGGGGTTGGAGGGGTGGGGGGGTATTAAACCCCCCAAACAACCAAACACAGCCACATCCATGGCTTTTTTTTAATCGCAGAAAATTATTTTTGTGAAATTCTTAGATTTTCGTCTTAGTTGATGTTTAGTGGTTGATTTGTTTCTTTTGGGTGTTGATTTGAGGGTTCGGTGAAGTTTTGACAACAAATCAAAGGTTTCAAGGGCCAAGAAGAAATCGATATTTGCTTTAACTAGAAGGTAACTTTTTTGTCCTACTATGGTAATAACTTTTCTTTTGAGGCAATGTCTTCTTCACAATCTCCTAATAACAAGGATCCAGTTTGAAAATATGCAAAACTAAAAAATCTGAAAGATCGAAATTGTGTTATTTGTATGCTTTGTGGAAATATTTATATTGGGTGTATTTTTCAGCAAAAAGAACACTTAGCCGGTATTTTTGGGAATATAAGAGCATGCCCACAAGTTACCGAAGAGGTAAAAAACGAAATTAGGGAATACATGGACAGCTTGAAAAAACAAACGAGAAGAAAAAAATGAAATGAAACGAATTAATTGATGAAATGCAATTATTTGATGATGATTGAGAGGAGGAGGATATGTCAGAAGTTAGAATGAGGTAAAGAAGAGGGTTATAAATATTGGAGGTAGTGTTGGAAAAAAAAAACACCTCTCTAAGGGGCCAATGGATATTTTCTCACTCCTGACCCCGAAATTGTAGTTCAGGAGAGGAGGAAAAAAACAAAACAAACCACAATTGAAAATCGATACAAGAAAGAAGAGAGGAAGAAAGTATGTAAGTACATTGCAAAGTGGTTTTACATGGCCGGCATTCTTTTTAATACTATAAACCCTCGATAGTTTTATATATATAGTCCAAGCAATTGGCAATTTAGCCCAAGACTTAACCAGCTTACATTACATAAGATTAGGGAGCCCTTATTAAGGATGTTGTATCTAATATTAATAAAATTTTGATTTATCAAAGTGAAGGGTGGGAGAAGGATGGGGAAACTATTATGTGTGATGGATGGTCCAATGGGAAGTTGAGGGCATTCATAATTTTTTGGTTAACTGTCCAACATGTATTTTTTTGTTAAGTTTGTTGATGCATCAGACAAGTCACATGATGTTATATACTTATGTGACTTGATGGATGAGATTGTAGAATTTGTTAGAGAAAAACATGTGGTATAAATTGTTACTAACAATGGTGCCAATTATGCTACAGCTAGGCATTTTTTGACTTTGAAAATGACGCATATATTTTGGTTCCCTTGTGCAGCTCATTGTGTTAATCTCATGCTAAAGGAAATGGGTACACATCTATATTTAGCAAGGTGATTTCAAAAGCTATGTTTGTTGTTAGATTTATTTATAATCACACCATAGTCCTTAATACGGTAAGGAGTTTTACAAAGAAAAGAGAATTAATGAGACCAAGTGTCACTAGATTTGCCACATGATTTCTCACTTTTCAAAGCCTATACAAGCAAAAATATGCCTTGAGGACCATGTTTGCTTCAGAGTAATGGAGTCAAAGTAAGTGGTCAAAGCATCGGGATGGGAGAAAGGCTAAAAAATTTATTCTCGATACATCTTTTGAGAATCAAAATATATCATGCATTGGAGGTGGCTGGCCATTTAGTAAGAGTTCTTCGATTGGTTGGTGGTGAAGTGAAACCCACCATGGGCTACATACATGAGGCAATAACTAAGGTAAGAGGAGAGATAAAAAAGGCTATAAAGGATGATGAAAATAAATGCAAGGCTATACTTGGCATAAGTGAGAGGAGATGGAATAACCAGCTTCACAGGCACCTCCACTCAGCCGGTTACTTCCTAAATCCATCTCTTCACTACAAGCACCCGTCCATTAAGTCTGATCGTGTAATACATGGTGAGTTCTTAGATGTGCTTGAGAGGTTAGTCCCTGTCAAAGATATCCAAGATGAGATCCAGAGCCAAAAATTGATTAAATTCAAGTTATCATTGGGAAACTTCGGAAGAGAAATTGCTACTCGAAACAGGGACAATGCAAATCCGGGTAAAGGCCAAAAGTACCTTATCAAATTTCTAATTTCTATTTTGCTTGCTTTACAATTTTTTACTTGTATAATGTATCAGTCCATTTATATAAATAATTAAATATTTATCTAAAATCTGAATTATAAAATGTTATACAACTGCATGGTGGGCAATATATGGAAACAAAACACCAAATGTACATCCCACTATTTGAGTGCTAAGTCTCACATGTATCTGGTTGCGAACGCAATTGAAGTGCATTTGAGCATGTAAGTCCTTCAATCCTTATTTCTCGGATTTCAATTTTCAATTTTCTAAAATCTAACTTATCTAATAA